TGAGGATTAAGTCAAATTTGTTCAAAATGACCTAATTACATTTTCAGATTTCTGGCTTTAAAAGCTACATTTTGATACCTGGATCATTCTGTTATCATAATTAAATCTATATATATGACTTAATTTGTCTTGTTGGTTACAATAATACATAAATATTTGGTCTGAATCCTAATTTGATGTCATTTTATTGAGGAATTTTTGATGTCCTTATAAAGAGGAGACCTCAAATTATATTTGAATATTGAGATCTCCCGGCTAAAAAGAAACAAAACTTTGCTAGCTCACAGGGAAAATCTCAAAATTTTAAGGTGTTTTCCCTCAATATCAGTTTTTTTGTTGCTACTGCTCAAAAAAGTGTTTCAAAATTTTGTTTTATGATTATATTTCAGACAGTTTGTTCAAATGATACATCTATAAGGAATTTATTCATTATATTTTGACAAAATGCAGTTTTTGTTAACATTTTCGTCAAAACACTGTATTTGCCTATTTCTCCATATACAACTTTTAGACTTAATCCTCGTTTTGATGTGATGGCTCACATACTGTATATAATTTACCCTCACACTCACATGAATATCTTTACTTTGACCAGATCAAAAGGACAGTTATTTTGGAAATTAGCGTTAATGGTTTAAAAGCTGTTGATGTTAGAATCTTATCAGCTGAGAGAGATCTAGACAAATAAAAACAAGCTGAGACTCAAACTGAAACCATGTTGGTGAGTGCATGTGCATTTGTGTGGATTATGACAATACCATTACTTTAGAAAAACATCTAATACCATTTACAACATCACAAGAAAAACTTAAAAATCTAAATAAAACATTATAACAACAACAACTATACATTTTTAAGACAGACAGAGAACAAACACCTGACATAATTTAGAGAGAGATCAGACCAACACATGCCAAGCCCATTGATACGGGCTGTTAGGTCCCTGTACGACCGCTGTCAGAGCTTGGTCCGCATTGCCAGTAGTAGGGCTGCCACAAACGATTATGTTTATAATCAATTAATCACCGATTATTTTTTTTGATTAGTCAACTAATCGGATCATACGTTAATTGAATATAAAACATACAGCTTATCGTGCCAGAATGCAGCTGCTATTATATAACCATGGTTAGATATTAGCTATATGCTAACTAAAAATAATTACTGTGGAAGACAAGTTCTGCCTTGCAGATATCGCATTGCACGGGTTTCTCTTTCATTTTCTTAAAATGATCCAACAATTTCCAGCTCCATTGCTGGGTAACCATGATACCAGAACCTGTCTGTATAATGTCTTGTGACGTCCACGGCCTACCCCAGTTACCACTACTGTGCATGTGTGTCAAGGACAGAAAGGCAGATGTGGCAGTGGAAGGTGTCAAAGCAGTTTGGAGAGAAAAACAAAGTAAAGAACAAAAAAAAGGAAAACGATTAATCAATTATTAAATTAGTCATCGATTATTTTAACAATCGATTAGTCGTCGATTAATCGACTAATCGTGGCAGCCCTAGCTGGTAGTAAGTCAGACTTGTTTCCATTGAGAGTTGGACTCCACCAAGGTTGCCCTTTGTCACCGATTCTGTTCATAACTTTTATGAACAGAATTTCTAGGCGCGGTCAAGGTGTTGAGGGGATCCTTTTTGGTGACCTTAGGATTACATCTCTGCTTTTTGTGGATGATGTGGTCCTATTGGCTTCATCAGATCCTGATCTCTAGCTCTCACTGGAGCGGTTCACAGCCGAGTGTGAAGCGGCCGGGATGAGGATCGCTAATTTATGAACCTAATTTCCTTCTGGGATTACCTAATTTCCCTCTGGGATCAATAAAGAATTTTTGAATTGAATTGAATGGAATTGATCAGTGCCTCCAAATCCGAGACCATGGTCTTGAGCCGGAAAAGGGTAGAGTTCCACCTCCATGTCGGGGAGGTGGTCCTGCCCCAAGTGGGGGAGTTCAAGTATCTCAGGGTCTTGTTCACGAATGAGGGAAGAATGGAGTGGGAGATCGACAGATGGATTGGTGCTGCATCTGCAGTGATGCGGGCATTGTACCGGTCTGTTGTGGTGAAGCGAGAGCTTAGCCAGAAGGCAAAGCCCTCGATTTACTGATAGGTCTACGTTCCTACCCTCATCTATGGTCAGGAAATTTGGGTAGTGACTGAAAGAACGAGATCGTGGATACAAGCGGCAAAAATGAGTTTCCTCTGCAGGGTGTCTGGACTCTCCCTTAGAGAGAGGGTGATAAGCTCAGTCATCCAGGAGGGACTCAAGAGTAGAGCCGCTGCTCCTCCACGTCGAGAGGAGCCAGTTGATGTGGTTCATCTGGTTAGGATGCCTCCTGGACGCCTCCCTGGTGAGGTGTTCCGGGCACGTCCCATTGGGAGGAGACCCAGAGGAAGACCCAGGACAAGCTGGAGGGACTATGTCTCTCGGCTGGCCTGGGAACACCTTGGGATTCCCCCAGAGGAGCTGGTCCAAGTGGCTGGAGAGAGGGAAGTCTGGGTCTCTCTGCTTAGACTGCTGCCTCTGAGACCTGACCCTGGATAAGCTGAGGAAAATGGACAGATGGATAGTACCAACACCTGACCCTTTAGAGAGAGACCAGACCACACCTGACATTTCAGAGAGAGACCAGACCAACACCTGACATGTTAGAGAGAGACCAGATCAACACCTGACATTTTAGAGAGAGACCAGATCAACACCTGACATTTTAGAGGAAGCCAGATCAACACCTGACATTTTAGAGGAAGCCAGATCAACACCTGACATTTTAGAGGAAGCCAGATCAACACCTGACATTTTAGAGGAGACCAGATCAACACCTGATATTTTAGCAAGAGAGTACCAACATCTGACTGCACAAAGTCTTCCCAGCACCTCCCAAAGGGTTCAGGGCTGGACTCTGATCTGGCCAGTCCATGTGTGAAAATGATTCCTGAACCACTCCTTGAGCTAGATGAATCCTGGCATTGTCATTTTGGAATATGGCTGTGTGAATCCTTTGATGGAATAACCTGGCCATTCAGGATATTCAAGTAGTCAGCTGACCTCATTCTTTGGACATTTAACCTTGCTGAACCTAGATTAAATCACCTGGCCCCACAGCCTGTACAGTAGGCGTGATGGGTTCATCACTTCACCAGCCCCTCTTTTTGCCCTGATGCACCCATCATTATGAAACAATGTGGACTCAGACCACATGAACTTCTTCCATTGCTCCAGAGTCCAGTCTTTGTGCTCCCTAACAAACTGAAGCAGTTTTTCCCCAATAGTCTCACTGAGTTTTTCTTGTAGCTACACAGCTGTTTAGTCCCGATCTCTTGAGTTCTTTCACGTTGTGTGTAGAAATGTTCTTACTTTCACTAATAAATACAGCGGTGAGCTGTACTGTTGTCTTTCTACTGTTTGATTTCACCAAATGTTTAAGTGATCACCATCATTCAAGATTTATTTTGACCACATTCCTTCCTGGAAGATGTTTCTTCACTGTCTTTTTCAGTTTTTAATAATGTATTAGACTTTAGTAGTTTCAATCTCTTCAGATGTTTTCTCTGCTTGATGCCAATAATCAGACTCTTCTGAAAAATGTGAACATCTTTTGTTGACTACAAGATGTGTTTTTAGACATAGTTGTTTAACAAATGAGTAACTGCTCTTCAACAATTAGGGTTAAATGTATTTATTTATTTAACCAGGCAAATCCCATTGAGATCGCAGATTTCTTTTGCAAGGGAGGTCAACGCCTGAAGGCAACCTACTGTACAAATTTCTGTGGAAATACCTCGAGTTTCAACACACCTCTGTTTCTGCCTCACTCTGACATCTCTGTTATCATTACCTTTTTATTGAAGTTCTTCCTCCTTTATTTTTTATTTTATTAACACGTTTATTCTCTCTTTGAGCCAGTCCCCTTCTAACTCTTATCTGTCCATTTCTCTGCCTGTTAACCACTCAGGTAGTTTCACACAGAAACTATTTTTTCCCGGAGTGTTTTTCAGTGCTTCTCAACCTTTTGTGATAATTTTGTTTTTTGTTGATATTGGATCCAATTATTTTTTATTGCATGTATGGTATGTATGTTAGTGATGAAACCATTCTTTGATTGACAGCTAGCTTAAGGTACTCTTATAGTTGAGACCCCCTCAGTCTTTACAGACCTTTGTAACCTGGTTTGTTAAACTCAGACGCAGCCTCAGGTTCTGCTCTTTTGTCAACCAAACCATGACTGACGTAGTTATGACCAGTGGTGTGGAGAAAAACAACTGAAACTTTCGAGCAATAGATAAATTCAGATGACTAAAACTATTAACATCTACAGATGCAATCAGTTTGGTTGTTCCAATTTATTCAAAAAGAGAAATTGTCAAAGGTGAATAAAATAACTTAAAACTAACAAGTAATAATTTCGTACAGTTGTACCTACAGTGACACACAGAAGAGGCTCGATTCTGTTCTGGTGCTGCTTTGCTCCATCTGACACGGCGTCTTGAATCTGCGCAGGGTACATTGAAATCTCAAGACTATCAAGGCATTTTGGTGTTACACATGCTCCAACAGGACCATGACCCAAAACAACTTGATTTTCTGAATCACTGCTCAGCTCTGGTGGCTCTCCTCCACATCAGGCTCTGTGTTTTACAGTTAAACATGTTTTATCAAATATTTAAAAAAAATAAAGTTTAACCTGCAACCCTCAACCTACCCAAAATCCCCTTGTTGGCATGTGCACCTGTTAGACTGTTTTCATGTCTCGACCATTCATCTGGTCTGAAAATGACACCAAATCTCATCAGTGCTCAAATTTCATTCACTCAGACCCCTCCACATCTCTCACCTGGGATAACCCATGCTTCACTGCATTAAGTCACTGTATCCAACATGTCAGATCACAGTGAATTAACCTGTGAAAGAAGCTGAAACAGAAGCTTTCAGTTTCAGCAGCAGCAGTTCTGTTTGTGTTTTGTCTCTCCTCACCGACTCTTCTCCTCTCTTCCAGGCCTGTGGCGACCCCAAGGCAAAACCCTCCTACCTTGTTGACAAAAACCTGGAGTCTGCTGTTAAATTTATAGTTAGGAAGTTCCCTGCTGTGGAGACACGCAACAATAACGTGAGTATTGGTTGTCTTTAATGTGCTTCCTGTCGTATGCTTGGTTTGGTTGTTTTGTAGTTAATTTATTTTGTAGCTTCATGTTGTGAATCTAGGAGAGTTAGAAGCTACTCTATAAGACTTGTTAAAACCCTTTCACCTCCAGAAGTTTTTAAATTGAACATCATCTGACAGCAAATCTCTGCACGAGTTTTCTTACGCAGGTGGCAGGAAGTTAGTCTCGATTTACAATTTAGGGCCACCTTTAAAACAAAATGTAGGTTTTATCCAGCCATATGTACAGTCTAAGGACTTAATCAGATCAATACATAACTTCCTTAAAGTTAACCTGCACATGTATCATCCTTTTAAATATTTTGGAATAGATTGATTTCTGTAATAGTTGGAAAAGAGTCACTTTGCAGATAATCATGTTTGATTAAACAGTACACAGTTGAGTATTGTTGTGTTTAATACTCCTGATAGTTGTTGAAGTTTGTGTAATAGTTTTTAACTAAATGGTAACGTAACACCAATTAATTACAGGATTCCTATTCAGTCCTGGAAAAATATGGCAAAGCTTGGAATTTGTTTTGAGTATTTTCCAGATCTGAATATATATGAAAAATAATAGTCCTTTTTTTTTTCTTATTTGATTAAACAAAAAAAGTAAATGAAATTGTTTAGATAAGAAAAATATACACACAATCATCACATGTTCAGTTTGATTAATGCACATCAAGTGTACATTAATTATTATTGATGTAAAATGCTACTACAACTAAATAGACTAAAATGTTTCTTTAGTTTGTCATTTTTGTGGTTTCAGAGCCAGACTGAACGCTATTCCTTCAAAAAGCACAAATTTACAAATGTTATCCCTGGATAGCTTTTAGTAAGTCTGTTTTGGAGATGTGATGTCAAATTTATTTATATTAAAACAACAAAAGCTGACCAAAGTGCTTTACAGTTCAATCAAGACTTGTATCAAAAACAAAACAAATGATACAGATGCAATACAGAAACACATTATAAAAAACATCAGCTCTTAATGAAGCTCCAACTTGGTCTTAATCAAAAGCTAAAGAAAAGAGATGAGTCCTCAGCAAAGATTTAAAAGCCTCAAGATGGGCAGGGGTTGTCAAATACTTCAAGTCTATTTAAGTTGGGCCAAAGACCAAACGTAACGTCACCATATCCCTTTTCTTTAATATACTGCTTTATTTCAACAAACCTACCCACTGCCCTTGTCTTGAAAACTAGAAGAAAGGGAAATCAACACAACTCGCAGTGTTCCAGTATCTGTTTGTACATCAGTATTGTATTTTGAAAAGATTGTAAAGTAGAAATTATTGTCACAGGTGAAGGCAGTGAGCATAGCATAGCATGCTTAAACGTTCAAAGAAAAAAATATTTTTTTTCCTAAAATGTCAAAGTTCCCCTGGAAACTGTTACACGTAGACAGGTCTGTGGACCCTCAAAGATTCCCCAGTTTTTCCTCTACCATTGCACAATGGGGGTGGCCTGGCCCCACAAAAGAACAGACCACCCCACCTATCAACTCCTGACCATAAAGTCGATTATTAATTATTATTATTTATGGAAGTTAGTTTTGACCCATTTTTTAATGTATTACCACAGTGAGTTTCAGTATTTTCTTGTATATAACTGAAATATTGTGTTGCGGAGGATTGTTCCTCTTAATTTCTAATTTCTTCTCCAGTTTCCTCCCGCTGTAGGGAGCGAGGGAGAAATTATATCCTACGTCACGCAGAGCGAAGCATATAAACAACCATAGTTGTTTTTTTCACACTGTAGTCGGAAAAATGTCTTCTTTTTTTTGTCTGTGGTATGTAGCCAACAAAAGTTGCAGTAGACAGATCTGTGGACCCTCAAAGACTCCCCAGTGCAGTACTACCTTGGTATGAGGCCATCAGCACCAAACCATCACAGTACCAGAACACGTATTGTTACACCCTGATGTACCGGTCCAAAGCATCAACCTCAAACTACCACAGTACCAGAACACGTATCGTTACACCCTGATGTACCGGTCCAAAGCATCAAACTCAAACCACCACAGTACCAGAACACGTATCGTTACACCCTGATGTACCGGTCCAAAGCATCAGCACCAAACCACCACAGTACCAGAACACGTATCGTTACACCCTGATGTACTGGTCCAAAGCATCAGCACCAAACCACCACAGTACCAGAACACTTATTATTACACCCTGATGTACCGGTCCAAAGCATCAGCACCAAACCACCACAGAACCTTCCATCCATGGATAGATGGATTAAAAAAAACTCTCATCGAATCCAAGATTTTAATTATCATGTAATTGATAAATTACACCTGTGCTCATCGTGATAGGCCTAAGCACAACTGTGTAAACATTTACAGATATTTGGATGTCTAAAAGAAAAAGTTAAAATGTAATGAAAGTTTCAAAAACATGAATATATAAGTTTATAGTTTAATAATATATCGTGTAGGAATCCTGTAATGTTTAATATTTGTGTTGATGTGTTTGAGTGAAATTAACTAATCATCATGTTTTACATGTCTTCATCATGCAGCAGACCGTTTAGATCATGTGTGTTTGTGTGTGTGAAGCTTTATTGAGTATAACTGTGCAATGATTGTCTCTTACGTTGTTTTCTGCTTTGTTTCTGTGTTTGTTTGTGTTCTGCATGCTAAACTTGGCTTAAACCGGACTTGTGCTTTTTGGTAAGTTTTTTTGTATCTAAGTTTTGAACTTAAGTTTTGTGATGTACTTTTTGTTTACCTGTGTGTTTTGCTTTGGCAGCAGATTTAAGTTTTGTCCTTCACCGAATGAGTGTGTGACAGCAGACTGGGTGACAAACTGATTGGCTGGAATAAGGAGTTAAAAAGCAGATAAGCTGTTTGCTCTGTTTACCAGATTGTGTCCATAATATCTGATGAGAATCATCAGATCATTCTGTTTCAGTCTAATCAATGATATTAATCGTAATTTCTGGACCTTTAGATGAGATGATACACGTTTTAACTCCTTGGCACAGCATCAGTTTGTCACACTCCTCTCATCATCATCTGGACTTGTTTCCTCTTATTCTGATGATTAACCTATTTTAGACCTCAGCTCTGAGCTGAAACACAAAGCTTTGCAGCTGAGTTAAATCCACCTGCTTCAGTGCTGACTCTGTTTTTCTAATGAAAGCAGCTCATCAGAAGATTGAAGCTGCAGTCTTAAAGTTAAACTCGTGTTTCTGTTCAGGTTTTGGAATAGCATCAAACCCACAACAATAGAAACAAAAAGATGTGTTTTGTCTTTTATTTACATGTGTTAAATCAATGTAGACAAGAAGTTTCTCCAGCTGTTTCACTAACCCTCATCATGTTGTAGTGAGCTGGACTTCCTTTGGTGAAATCCAGTTACATCAACCAGTTAAACTTTATTCTGCACAGCTTCAGCAGTTTGTCCGGCACTCCGACCGTGAAGTTACATCATTCAATCTGCTTCACTTCCTGTGTTCCTGCAGCTGCGTGCTGAGAGGAAGAGTCCTCATGGGGTATATAAAACTGACCCAGTACTGGGTTAACATCAGAATTTGTTCACTTTGAAGCTGAAAAATACACTGCAAAAACTGTCCAACCAAGTTTTAAAATCTTATATCCAGCAAAAAACATTTTAGGTCTTGTTTTGAGACTGATTTACTAAACAAGAGCAGAACACGTAAGATTATTTCTCATTAGCCTGGAAATTTGACTCAAATTAAGTGAAAAATCTGCCAGTGGAGTAAGACAGTTTCACTTAGTAAGATTCTTGAAAAAGAAAAATTTGAGTCAAATTAAGTGATTTCAAGAATCTTATGAAGTGCAATTGTCTTACTCCATTGGCAGATTTTTTCACTTAATTTGAGTCAAATTTCCAGGCTAACAAAAATAAATATTCGTATGCATTCTGGTAACAAGATCATTAGTGGTGTCCCGATACAGCTTTTTCACTTCCGATGCATACTGATAATGCAGCCTTGAGTATTGGCTGATACCAATATTAGAACAAATCATATATATATTTATTACCTTTTTTAAATTGTGGAATCTTAAAAAGCCTTGATAATGCCAAACAGTAAACAATAGTCAACAACAGAAGGTATGAGAGACTGGTCCCGTTTATCATTAACCAGTGGGTAACAATTTTTAAACCTAAATGTAAGAATATTGTAAAATTAATACAATCAATAAATAATAAAATAGAAAACCCTGAAAAATTGCCTCAATAAATGCAATAAAAACAAAATACACTTTTTAAGTGTTAAATAACTATTCATGGTCACTTAAGTTATTTATGCTAAATCCAAGTGCTGCTGGACAGAAATCCTGGGCAGACAGTTGGATGGACTGCTTCTGTTGGAGGTTTTAGATCTAGGTCGATATAATCCGATATTCATTCTTTGGCTAATATCAGACCAATATTGATATTGGATCAGGACTAAGGATGGGCCAAATGGACTAAAAATGTATCACGGTAACTTTTGGGTTTTATCACGGTAACAATAAGTGCCAATGAAATATATACTGTATATATCAGCCTAATCTTTTGTATTATAAATCTATCACTACTACATTTTGTCTTGAGAGCCCTAAAGTAATACTAGAAGCCACTAAACTACATTAAGTTCAAGTAATTCACCTATGTTGCAAAACAAACAAGTCTGAAATATGAGAACAAATTTGACATGTATTTAAAAGGTGTAAACAGCAAAAATAACGGTTTATAAAAATCACAAAGTAGTACAGCTGTAAATACAACCTGATAAAAATAATCATTTCAGTAAATTCCAACAACATGTAAAAACTGAAATGCTTTTTGTACAGTAATGCAGAAATAAGGCTAACAGGAACAACTGTATGTGCTGTACACCTTTAGATTGTTGGTCAAAAAGACCAGCATGTTAACTGTATACACGGCTGGATTTTAATGGTTTTATCGCGAGATGACAAACGATTACCACTAGGGATGCACCGATATGAAAATTTCAGCCGATATCGATATCCGATGCTTTTATGGCCGATAACCGATATTTACCGATATTACACAAACACACAAATTATATTATAAATAAACACACAAACACACTTGGATCTTTTTTTGTTACCGTAAATAAATGACCAGAACTCTGACATGACTCCCTACTTCATTTATTCCTGGATACACAGCGTAAATATCACTATCATGATCAAACAGATGCCGCTCAACCAACCAGCTCCCAAAACAGAAACACAAAGATAAAAAGTGGGAAATCAATATCAGACGTTAATATCGACCCAGTTTTACATATTGGACCAATACCCATATTCTAAAAAGTTGCCATTATCGGCCGATGCCAATATCAATATGGATATATCGATATTTCCTAATTACCACTGTGAATTACTTTGACGGTATGTTGCACACAATAACATATCACCCACCCATCTCTAATCGGGACACCACTAAAGATTAATCTAACACATTCTGTTCTTGTTCGGTAAATCTGTCTCAAAACAAGATCAGATTTTTTGACTGGATATAAGATTTTAAAACTTGGTTAGATGGACATGGTGCAGTGTAGTTTAAACCTCATTAGTTTGTTAAAAAATAATATTGAGACAATGCAGAGTAACCACCACTGGTCCCTCCCTGCTCCTCACCACAGACAGACCTACTATAGTTACTTTGGGGTTGGGTTCACTTCTTATGTTATGTGGATAAAAGTATTTCTAGAAATGATGCCGTTTTTATAATGATGATTAAAAAACAATTCAAAGATTTCTTAAAACTCGTGTTCACGTTTACCCAAGGTCATTTCCCTTCATGAAAATGAGGCTGACCGAGTTAGGTCAAGCTTTAATAACAAGTTAGAATTTGTTTAGTTGAGTCACATCTCAAAGATATCAGCGAGTTCAGTTTGTGACAATAAATATTATTTAAATCTTGTCTCATTCTTGTCAAATGTTTACTGTTAAAGTCTTGATAAATAACAGATGAAGCTAAAAAAATAATAAAACTAAAAAGGTCTGATAAAAATAAGTTGTTACTATTGAAGTTTTGTTTCAAAACTAATGAATCTGTCCTTGACTAACATGATGTTAGCTTATTTATACTACAGGCTACATTTTTAAACACAAGCTGTTTTTATCTCCTTCAAATCAAATGTTCCATCAAATATTAAAATCCTGAAAATGTTCCAGCAGTGCAAAATCCTTTCAAATTCAGATGGAATTCGATGTTTCAGGGCTTTATAGCTCTGATGTAGCCTGAATTATTCAGCAGCTCAGTGTAGTTTCTGTTCATTTAGCCAAAAATAAGAGATACTTTAATTAAAGTGAAGCCAGTTCTAATAATCTGAGCTGAAGCCTGAAGGGGATTTTTGTAATTGGAGTTTTTGTGAAGGCTTGGATTCTAAATATTCATTATTTCTCTTCATATCACGTGTAAGGAAAGTACTGTCTGAATAGTTTTCCTCTGTCAGAGCCTTTTTAAAAGGATGCTTTAAGAGTTGGAGCATCCCATCACTGATGTTTCAAGCTGTTAAAGCAAAGCAGCTGACACACACAGAGGCTTTCAGGCACAGAATCATAAATCTGTGTTTTCTGCCATGTTGTTTTTACAGCAACAGCTGGCTCAGCTGCAGAAAGAGAAGTCTGAGATCCTGAAGAACCTGGCTCTCTACTACTTTACCTTTGTGGATGTCATGGAGTTCAAGGTGGGGAAAACCCAACCAGACACACCTCTGAACAGAGTTTTAAGTTCAAAACTGTAATCGACGTGTTTTCTCACCAGGACCACGTGTGTGAGCTGCTGAACACGATCGACGCCTGCCAGGTCTTCTTTGACATTGTGAGCAGAGTTTCACTTTGGTTCTGTCCAATCACCAGCTGGCTTCTCTAACGTTTACTGAGCACCTTTTCTTCTCCCTGTCAGACGGTGAACTTTGACCTGACCAAGAACTACCTGGATCTGGTGGTGACGTACACAACTCTGATGATAATCCTGTCTCGCATCGAGGAGAGGAAAGCCATCATAGGACTGTACAACTACGCCCACGAGATGACACACGGAGCCAGGTGCTTCAGCTAGTTGTGCTGAGTTGAGTCGTGTGAAAAGCCCCGTGGTCTCTGAGGTAACCCAGCTGCTCTCTGTGCTTCAGTGACAGGGAGTACCCCAGGCTGGGCCAGATGATCGTTGACTATGAGAACCCTTTGAAGAAGATGATGGAGGAGTTTGTTCCCCATGGAAAGGTAGGAAAACTTCTCAGAGGATTATTAGTGTTGAAGTCAGTCAGTCTGCCACATTCACGTTTTAGGTTCCTTTAACAGAACTCAGAAAGATCTAAACATGAGGAAACTAGAAGCACTTGGAGAGTGCAGACCTCTGCCAAGGCCGTAGGGTCAATGATGCTAAAAGGATCCCCCTTGGAAAAGTGACCTATCCAATGCTTTATACTAAATATAGTAACATAATGTTGCATGTATTCATACATAAAAGTAAATGATGGAAATCAAAATTTCAGTTTATTCCAACTAAGTCTGTGAAATTGATTGAGTTAACTCTGATTAGTTTTAGTGATGCATGGGCATAGATTAAAAAATTTTAATCGCAATTAAAATATACAATCACTTTACTATGGCTGAATATGAAGGTTTGTATATTACAATGCACTCGGTGCCAGGTCATGTTTGTAAATGAGAAGTGGTTCTCAGACAGTTTACCTGCATAAATAAAGGTTAAATAAATAAATAAAAAACTCCATGTACTTTATGTACAGTTTTTTTTCTTTTTGTCTTCTTATGGCTTATTTTATTTATTTATGTTTTGCTGACAACTGTGACCTTAGTATCTATCTTTCATTCCTCATGTACTCATTTGGAATGAAAATCCTTGAATTCTTGATTTAACCTCATTATTCTGCACAAAATTTAACTGACTCAAATATGTTTGGAGCATTTTTTTAGGTCCCTGTTAAAAATCATGTCTAAGCATAAATTTTTTTCTAAATAAACTGTTTAATAACTCAAGTAATTTATTTTATCAATATGCAATAAAAATTTATATTAAATTTAAGATTAATCGTGTTTAATTCACAGCTACTTTGGGATTTGTCAGATTAAAAATATTAATCATTTGACAGCCCTAATTCCAACATATTTTTCAGAAAACACATGTAGAACAATAATATTGAATCAATGTCATAACACAGTATCATTCAGACATATTTTGTGCCCATACAGTGAAGGCATCATATAAAAAAGTTTCCAAATAAATAAACATTAAGATTACAGTTAAAATTTTCAACAAAATATTCACACTATCATGGTGAGAAAAATAAGTGTGAATAACTTTGACATCTGTAATTTCCTCTATCCTCCTTGGTTGAGGTAACAATGGATCATACCAGTTTGTCATAATTTGACTGGGTTTATGAGGAATCAGTCGTTAAGTTAAAAACATTGATGTTTGCAGTTGATACAGACTAACTTATCTCAGTAAAAACAGTCAATCCCTGTTTCAGACCTGGAGTCTTTCTGTGTGAAGTTTGCATGTTCTCATGCCTGCGTAGGTTTTCTCCGGCTACCCTGGTTTCCCCCACAACACAAACACATGTACAATAGGTTGCCTTCAGGCCTCCTTTGAAAAAGAGATCTGTGATCTCAATGGGGTTTGCCTGGTTAAATAACGGTAAAAAAAGAAAGTGGACTGAGTTTGGTTTGAATATGGTTTGATGTTAATAAGCAGTTGTTTGGATAAAACTCTTTTTGTAAAAAGAGCCTTAAGTAAAAGAGTATTTAGTTCATATTTAGGTGTAATTATAGATCTTAACTTAACTTGATTTGTTGATACTTTGAACAGCATGCATTGATTTCTGTTTGATTTTAAACTGTCACGTGATCTTACAAGAAATCCATCAGATTTATAGAAGAAGACTTGAACAGTGTGATGAGGACCAATAAAGGTTTAGTTTGATCTGAGGTTGTTGTGATCAACAGATAATGCACTGCCTGGTCAAAAAAATGATCACCACCTGGATTTAACTGAGCAAACGGGTACGAGCCTCCTATTGGATCATTACTGCATCTGTAATTATCTTTCAGCTGCAAGAAGTTATTTAACCCCAATTGGCACAACAAGTTTCTTCTCATTTCTTAAACAACCATTGAAAGACACATCCTGTGGTCGTGGTCGATAGTCTGTTTGAGAAGGGTCCAGTCATTGGCATCAAGCAGAGAAAACATCAAAGGAGATGTAGAAACAACTAAAATTGGGTAAAGATCTGTCCAACACATTGTTAAAAACTGGAAGGATAGTGGGGACCCATTGTCTTCAAGGTTGCCTGTGGGGCAGTGCTATGATGTGGGCTCTCTGCAGGTGGTCAGGTTCAGCAACAATAACCGTGTTTCCATCAAGGCTTTTTGATGCGCATTTAGAAGTGTCGCATTAAAAATGCGGGAAAAAATGTCGGATGGAAACAGCAAAATTCGGGGAAAAAAAGCCTCAATTCGCTAAAAAGTTTTTACGCTCGCTTGAGGTGGTTTTTTGATGATTCGCAAAGTAGTTAATGCGCAAAACGGGAGATGGAAACATATTTGCCGAATAAATTCGGACGTAGCGCATATTTACCTCACGTGTTGTTCAGCTGTTTCTGCTTTCTTGCCTCATCCCGGATGTTATCATAAATGCGCAAAAACATTGCGTTTATTTCCCTACYTCTCCTGGCAGCGTTAAACATAGCCTGTACTAGCTGAATAGATAGAATAATTACAACTTGCCCAACAGCAAGGCATTCACGAAAAAATCGCTCCATTGTCCTGAGATAATTAACCTCTGCTAGTTAGCAAGTTTCACTTCCTGTTTACTACCGCAAAGCTTGTCGCCGATGTCTGACGTAATCACGCATTGCGTAGCCTCGTCTGACGTAATCACGAGTTGCGTAGCTTCGTCTGACGTAATCACGCGTTGCGTAGCCTCGTTTATTCGCAGTCGAGAGGGAAACTAGATGGAAACAGTCTAGATTCGAATTTTTATTTATTTAATTTTTTTGCGAATTTTTAAAAGTTCGATAAAAGTTCACTCTACAACTGGATGGAAAGACGATTACTATGAGCTCAAAGAATGAGCAGGTTTTTCCATCAACGCATTGTTTCTTCCCAGATAGCACGGACATATTCCAAGATGACAATGCCAGGATTCATGGGATGGAAATAAATCTTGTGACATTGCAGAAGCTTATCCAAACAACGCCACAGAGAATGTGTGCTGTGATCAAAGCTAAAGGCGGTCCAAGCAAATATTAGTGTGATTTTTTTTTTTTTGGCTATGCAGTGTATCTTAACAATAGCTCTCATTAAAGGACCTGCTTTAGAAAAATTGTTTCATTCTAATGGGAATGATGAGCTAATAGCTAGTCTGAAAGTAGCTAATGCTGAATTGAATCACTGCATCTTAAAACGGCTCCAATTCCCAAAATGTTTATACCACTTAATACAAACACTGTTTAATAAACCTTTACACCTCCACAGTTTTCTTTACAGGTATTCTATATTTATTTACCAGATCACGTTTGGTTTTAAGAACCTTGTTTCCATCTGTCTATGATAAAATTAATATCCAAACACTGGTTGTGATGCTACAGAACTAAGCTAAAACATTTTATAAACATATTATAAGAACACAAAACTAAAGGAAAATTTGAGTCTGGAAAAGTGACTTTTTAAAACTGGAAATCATATAAAAAGTCAGTTTTATTCTTTATCTGTCAGAAATGAAGGCATTGTTTGTTTAGACTAATGTTTAGCTTTAGTGACGGTGTTGTTCCTACAGTCCCTGTCGGAGGCCCTGATCAGCCTTCAGGTGGTTTATCCTCGGAGGAATCTGTCTGCTGACCAGTGGAGGAACGCCCAGCTGCTCTCGCTCATCTCTGCTCCCTCCACGATGCTCAACCCGGCTCAGTCCGACACTGTGAGGACCTCTGAACGCTCATTTTGTCAGTTTCCTGTCAGAAGACCTCCTGCTGTGGAAACAGCTCTGACTAATCCTTGTTTTGTTTGTCTCCAGATGCCTTGTGAATACCTGTCTCTGGACGCAATGGAGAAGTGGATTGTGTGTAAGTACTGTAGTACCTGCACTCAAAGTGGTACAGGACTCCAGGGTGCAGCAGATTTTATGACTAAAATAATGTTAAATGCAGCATTTTGTTCTCACTGGTTCACCTCACAGTTATCTTTTCTCTGTGCCTCTGAAGACCAGATCCAGTCCCAGAGCAGTGGTCTGTAATTACAGTTCAACAGTAGAAAACAGAAATAACTAGGGATGCACAGTATATCAGCATTAATATCAGTATCAGTCCAATATGTAAAGCTGGGCCGATATTAACATCCGATATTGATTTCCCACTTTTTATCTTTTAGTTTCTGTTTTGAGAGCTGGTTGGTTGAGCAGCATCTGTTTGATCATGATAGTGATATTGATGCTGCAGCCAGGAATAACTGAAGTAGGGAGCCATGTCAGAGGTCTGGTTGTTTAGTTACCGTTTAAAAAAAAAGACCCAAGTGTGTTTTTGTATATATGTATAATAAAATGTGTGTTTGTGTAATATCTGTAAATATCAGTTATTGGCCATAACAGCAATAATTATATTGGAAATTGATATTGGCTGAAATATCTATATTAGTGCATCCCTAAGCAACGATGCAGAAA